GTTCAGGGCTTATATAGGGTTTAGGGTTGAGGGGGGGCTGGTCCTAAACAACAGAAGCCAAAATCCTACACCCCAAACCCCTAGACCCTAAACCGCAGCGTGTCGGGTGACGTGCCTTGAACAAGCTGCAGCAGTCTCGTCAGGCATTGCCTTTGTTTGCCAGTGCGCTTAGCCGTGGGTCTCTGTCGAATATGCATCTCTTCGATGTTGCCTTCCACTATGAGAACGCCAGAAACAGTATAATAAGACCGGAAACACTGGCTCTGGGACCTTAAAAGAGGTTACGTGATCTGTTTTCGTTCGGGCTGTTGCGGGCCCAGGCTGTCGTTTCGGAGCCTAGGAATACAACCCTAAACCCTAAACCCTAACCCTAAACCCTAAACCCTAAAGGCCCTGTTCATCGCAGCCTTGACCTCCGCGGCAGATTCCACCTGAGCAGCTCAAGAACGCGATCGTCATCAAGACGAACAAGTCGCAGCCCTAGGGTGGACCCGTCAGACACTGAAATCGCTCCGATGGAGCAGGGTTGGGGAGGTGCCTAGAAGAGGCAGGTAGTACTTGGGGTCATCAGGAGCGTAGACCCCACCGAGTATGTGGATTTGGTGGGCGAGGATTTCAGAGTTAAGACTTAAACTGCTTTCGCCTTTAGAATTTTAGAGTGTGGGGATGTCAGGGGATCGAGAGCTTCAAGGGTTTTGGGTTAAAGTTTAAGGGTTTGTGGGATTTTCGGGCATCTGCTCTCGATCTTGGCATCGAGCAGGATGGCAGCCTTAAGAAGCAACCATGAGCCTTCAAGTCCTACTCTAAACCCTAAACCGTAAATGACCATACAAGCTGTTCCTCATTTGCATCCCTAGAGCCGCTACACACGGGGAAGCAAGGCGTTCAAGACTACAAAGGGCCAGATCTCTTTTTTCCAAGGCTCTCCCGAACCCTCAAACCCCAAACCCCAAACCCTAAACCCGAAGAGCCAACTCCAGAATCTGAAAATGACACATAAAGCTTTTGACGCCCAGGGCTTACAAAGATCTTCAAGAGGAAGTGATTCCAGTATAAGCACCCTCAACCCGCAATGCCCCCTAAACCCAGAACCCTTAACCCGCCCAACCCCAAAAACCCCTATACCCCCCAAACCCCCTAAACCCTAAACCCTAAACCCTAAATCCCAGGTTCCATCCCGTGACGGTGGTCTTCCTACAGATCATTACGCTCGGGCTCTTTACCATCTTCCGGCCTCAGGATCTGCATGCCGGGTTCAGGGCTACTATAGGGTTTAGGGTTTAGGGGATTATAAGGGTTACTAGAGTAGGATTACTATAAGGGTTGCTACAAGGCTTGTTATAAGGATTTCTGAAGGGTTACTAGAAGGATCGCTATAAGGATTACTACTGAGCTTACAATACAGGAGTCGATAGTGGATTGCTTAGCGGGGTTGAGGGTTCTGTGCCAGAAGCGATCCCTGCGTATCTTCGAGCGACCGCCTTCGGATTCAGGGCCAGAGTGCTCGTTTGCAAAAGCAGGGGTTTAGGGTTTAGGGTTTTGGGTTCTGGGTCGAGGTTTCAGGGTTTAGGGTTCAGGGTTTAGGGTTTAGGGTTTTGGCTACTATCAGGATTACCATCAGAAGTGTCGTTAGCAGCATCCCAGTGCTTCGACATTGGGTTCTCTTCAAGCACTCCTGGAAACCTTCTCGTAACCCTTCAGGTAACCCTCATACCTGATAGTATTCTTTCTAGTAACCTTGACAGTAACCCTTGGTAATTCTGATAGAGCCTTCTCGAACCCCTTATAGTAGCAAGCCCTTATGGGGCAGCAGCATGTCTGGGTTTAGGGTTCAGGGTTTAGGGTTTAGGGTTTAGGGACTCTCAGGATGACGAGACCATCCTTGTTCTCACGGAGGGCGGCCGCGTTTACCTGCTCAAGGCCTCCTTGTGAAGTCCCAGTCTTTGAAGGGGTTTACGGGTCAGGGTTTGTGGTTTAGGGTTTAGGGTTTAGGGTTAAGGGTTTACGGGTCAGAGTTTATGGATGTGTTACTGCACGGATTGTTGCTTACTGAGTCGGAGTGGTTTTCGTGAGCACCTTTCGAAGGGATGGATTGTTACCACGTATCACCCCATCTCTAAACCTCAAGCCCTAAATACCAGACCATACACTCTTTGGACCCTAAGCCCCCTAAACCCTAAACCCGAAACCCTAAGCCCTAAACCCTAAACCCTAAACTTCGACCCTGAGGCGCCCCTCTCCTAGGTAGTATTAGGGAGACACCTTCAAGGGGGACCCTTCCTAACCCTACTTCTGGCTCTAGGGTCTGTATTCCCAACAAGGGCCCCCCTAATCCTAACTCCCACCCCCAAAACCCTAAACCCTAATCCTAACTCCTATAAACCATAAACCCTAAACCCTAAACCTCACTCCCACCCCCAAAAGCGTCCCTGACAGGTGGAGCGACCCAATGCCTTCGGCATTGACCTGCAGGTGCGGCCCTAAACCCTACACCCTAAACCCAAAACCCTGAACCCGAAACCCCTAAACCCTCTTCACTGGCACAGGTGGCCTTGATGACCTTCTTGAGGCTTCTTCTCGTGATGGTCCTCATTGCGATGGCCCCAGACTATCAGCAGTCAGCGACCTCCCTAAACCTCTAAACCTTAAACCC